TAATTACATACGTGTCTAGATAATATCAGCTGCTTACTCGAGTAACAGACAAGTAACAGACGAGTACAGACGAGTAATAGACGAGTACAGACGAGTAACAGACGAGTACGGACGAGTAACAGACGAGTAACGGACGAGTAACAGACGTGTACAGACCAGTAACAGACAACTACAAACGACTACAGATCGACGAGTATATTTTATAAATACGACTAATAAACAGCATTGTGATGGATTGTTTTAATAAATGATGCAAAAATTTTCAAAATGGCGATTGGCGCTGCAGCACTATGTGAGATTTCTGCCATTAGCCGCTATTGTATGTGAAGGTGAGAACTGTGCTACTATAATCAGTTTACGGTTCAGTTTACGTTTGGATCGTATTTGTGTAATGTCAGTTTAGGTCAAGGGAAGTGAAATATCACTTTACCGTCACCCGCGCGCGTTAATTAAATTTTTCAGTATTTCGTGATTTTTTTCATTGTTTTTTATTATCCTCTTGGATTTTTGTAAAACTATTTCAAAAACATTATTTTGTCCAGAAATTCCATTGGAAGCACTTGTACCCCCCCCCCCTCCCTTGAACATTGCAAGTATTTCATGGATTGATCGATTTAATCCAACCTAAATATTTCCGTGGCAAAATAATAAGGTACATGAAGTAGGTTCCATTTGGACAAATCATATTGCTTGAAAAGGCCACAAGCCTGCATTGTAAGAGGTAGGCAATCTTCGAGTTAAGCTCTTCGAGTTAAGCCCTTTTCGAGTTATTAAGCCCCGACCACGCCCAAGCCACGCCCATTTTCGTCAAGGGTTTAACTCGAAGAAAGAACAACATGGAAAGTTCGAGTTAAGCCCCATGAAAAAATGAGGGGCTTAACTCGAAGTCATTGACAAATATTCCACGCTCGAGCTAAGCCCCGATATTTGAGGCATGTAATTAAAGAGCAATGATTTTAGTCGTCCACAATCTAGTTGGAAATAGTTATTATACGTCTCGGCCAAAATAAACTGCAGCCTAAATGAGTCACGAACAACTCGTACGAACAGTCAATTTTTATTAAGTAAGGCAGATTATTTTTGACTACTTTTATACCTCCGAGCTCATTACGCATAAATTGATCTCTTATTTCGACTCAAATCATTGCTCTATTCCACCGAATATTTTCAATAACTTCTAGTTTAGTCCTTTTTTTCACGGGGCTTAACTCGTACTTCCCAAGTTCTGTTTCTTTCTTCGAGTCGTAGTCCTTGGCGAAAATGGGTGTGGTTTGGGCTTAATAATTCGAAAGGGCTTAACTTGAAAGGCTTAACTCGAAGATTACCAACCTCTCACAATGCAGGCTTGTGACCGTTTCAAGCAATATGATTGGCCTAAATGGAACCTACTTCATGTACCTTATTACTTTTCTACGGGAAAATTTAGGTTGGATTTTTGCTCATAGCAAAAACGGAAGTGATTAAGTAACGGATAGAATCAGGGACGCCGGAACTGGGGGGGCAGGGAGGCGGCTGCCCCTCTTGCCTTTTGCTAGGGGGGAGCAGGGGGGAGGGCAGAAGTGCCCTTTTAGTTGTAAAATACTACGTGATAAATCACATTTCCAGTGATGATTTTTCGGGCAAAATCATGAGATTCAGGTAATTTATAGGCCCAAAGAAAGTTAATTTACAAAAATAAGTGTGAATTTGGAAAAGAATGAGGTTAATTTACAAAAATCCTAGAAAATTTTTGGATTTTAGAAAAATATTTTGGATAAATGGGGAAAATTGCTGATATGCGGAAAAATTTTTTTACGTCACGGAAAATTTTTGTATGTCCGGAAAATTTTTTGACCCCTAAAATGGTACACTGACCGAAATTTTTTGGGCGACGGGGGGGGGG